TAAATTAGTCACTCAGGCTATGTACACATTAGATAAGTGCAGAATACCCATTTTCCCCAATGTAATGTTGAACTTTCATTCGATCATTACATCCAAGGTGTATACTGGATAGGTGTTATTGTGCCAATTTTAGGTAAAAAAAAGTGACGCCGCACGATTTATATCAACTCCCTTAGGAATTATAAGATGTAGGATTCTCTGAGGTTAGAAGTGTGATAGCCTTACAAGAGTCACTTACATTCGTTGCTTGATGAGGGAAAATTTACTAATAGATACCCCGCTTTGAGCTTTCCATTTTGCAGCAGGTCACGTTCTCATTGCTTTCATTGCCTGGTAATCAGGTTTTTGTTATATGCATATGCTAGCAAATCCATTCCAATTTCAAGTAAAACAATGAAATACATGAACGTCCAGGCAACCAATGCGATCGATTTCATTCATATCAAATCTTAGTTTATCTCATTGTTAAGGCCATCTGGAGAACAGTTTGCATTCGTGATCAGCCCATTCATGTGGCTGAGTTAACGAACAGCTGCTGATGTGATCTATACTTTATGTTCTCACCTCAATCGTATCAAGTTTTTCGAACCCCACAGAAATTTAAAGCATTGGAAGCCCTAGATAATGTGGCCTTTTTTAAATCCTTCCTTTTAGTGCCCATACAATCATGTGAATGTGAAAATCAAGTAAATATGGTAGCCGGATACTCGTTAAATCAGAAGAGTCAATGCTTGCAATTTCACTGCTGATGCAAGAGCAGATGACATATTAGTGGACTATTCTCGAACCCACACTTACGTCATTTCCAGCCTTGAACTTATTTTTGTGGAATAGTAACGTTGTTACTGCTTGTCAGTCAGTTTTCTAATTGAATTGTAATGAAAGTCACTTTTGAATCTCTGGAATTTTAGTTAAAACTATTCAAATTAAATAAATATAGTTTATTTAAAATGTGGCCTTACTCTTGTTCCAATTTTAAAAACGCCCTACCAGCCACTTAAAATGTGTCAAAATAAATCTTTTCAAACTGCTTAGAGGCTAGCAAACACCTCTTCTCACTTTCAGGCGGAAATGTGTAATTGCTCAGATAATTATGAAGTCAATGTAAATCTAGAAAAGTGCGCGTATTCATACACTCAATGCACAAGGTTCGCCGTCCTCACGCTCTTTTCCGCACATCAATTATGCGCTTGGGATAAATTTATCTAAGTGCAGTGGCACCGATGAGAACAGGTCGAGGAAGACCCTGCTGCTTCTCATACCAAATGGAATGTAAGTGGTTGAAAAATGAGGAATTTCAAAACATATACCCCACCTTTTACACCATCTGCCATTGAGACATCTTTTTGCCAACATTTTAGACTGCATTATCGGCCAGAAACAGCCATGAAGATCGACTGTAATCACTTGTCCAAGTGGTAATTTGATCACCTCACAGTCTAGCTAATTAGATCTAATCCACTACCCCCTACTCCTTTTAGTCTTCGACTGTCCAATAACATGAAAGTGCTCAACACGTATGCATGTCTATCATTGTAAGTATGACTGTAGCGCAGCATGGTCTAATGCTGAAAATCCTAGTTCTACACATAAACTAAATCATTTTTATGATTTTTTGGCTGATCTACAAGGGAGATTAATTGAGTTAAAAATTTAAAATGCCCAGCCAAACAATAATAAGTCTAATGTTTCCCTATGAACAGCCTGCATCTTAATTACTGCTAGGGTAGGCCGTCTGCATTCTCATTATCTTAAATTTTACCGAGACCATTAGTACTTAGAAAACGATAAAACAATATATTCTACTCAAATGGATGCAAATATGCTAAAAAAGTAGCCGATTACAAATATTTGTTTAACTAAGAGCCCAAATACTAAATATCGTGAAATATGCGTAAGCAGATACGTTCCGAATTATTTCCACGAAAGAACAATAAAACGAAAGATGATGAATGAAACCCTTGTACTGTAAACAAAGCGGAGCTCTACTTTTTTTCCCCTACCATATTATAATTAATTAGTTAGAATACATAAAGACATATGTTAAGAATAAAGTGAAAACCAGATGGGCAACATAGTACTCATATTTATAAGCCTTAATGATGGTCTCCAGATAAAACTAGGATTATGATCAAATAATAGCCGATAAATAGTTCCGTCTACATTTCAGTGTTGGTTTAAAAACGATAAAGATTATTGGGAAAAATGAAAAACAATGACAGTTATACAAAAAAGAAAGACAAAAGGTATGAGGATCATAGCTGTGAAATAATAGTTTCGATAAAAGGATCGCAGAATTCGTTTTTACTAAAAAAAAAGAAATCGACACTTGTTATCTCTTCTTTCCATAAAATAACAACTGAAAAATTACGTTGGTAGATAGAATTTAATTATCCTCACTAGAGCCATGAATATTAAGATCTCGGCGGAAATAAAAAGGGGACCGAAAATTTGCCATAGAAATAAAATCGTAGGAAAGATCTCCATAGTTTTGAAGATAGTGCGCATGGCTAAATCTTTGCCCTCTGCTGGCCACTTGAATAGTAGCACTGCGCTCGAGAAATTACGTAGGAATGGGGGCGATGTTGACAGGTCCCTCTGCCGAGCTAGGGTTGTATCCACTCGGATTGGGTAACAGGAAGAAGTTGCCAGCCATCCAAAGATGAAGTAGTAAGATATACAGGAAGGCGAAAAAACGAAGATAAGGACGGCGCCGCAGAAGACCGGCCAAACAAATGCCAAGGTCATCTACCCAAGTAAAACATGGCCGAAGACGTCTAAGTAGTTGGGTTTGCTCCTGATTGGCAGTATAAGATTCGGCAAGTAAAAGAGAAAACGGATGCGCAACTTAAAGAAATTTAGAGGATCCATGCATAACAGAGTAATTCGCCAACCAGATTATAAAATAATTAACGAACATGAAGTAAAAGCATCGAAGTACTATAAAAGTTTGTCTTAAGACTATTTAAAATGAGCAATAAAAATACCAAAAGTCCCTGTACAAAGTCAGTCTCGAAATAATTATAAAGCCCGTAACCCATTTCCGATGAATCGCTTAGAGCTCTCTCATTATCCCTTAAGCTAATAAAGTTACGAGGTATGACTTGGTATAGCGTTAACTTTGTTCTAGCAGTACTAGATTCGTGCAAATGATGGTCAAGAAGTTCGTGGAATAGGTCTCGCTCCTACGTGTTGATACATTCCACATTAAGCTATATGCTTAAATCAAATTTTTAGGTCTATTAACCTTCTTATGTTAGTTAGTAGAAAAACTGGGTTTCGAATCTTAATCATCAATCCCATCTTGGCCTATTAGTCTCTCAAGTTTGGGGCATAATTGGTTTGAATAATTCGTCAGAAGAATATGGAAGATTCTATAAAAAGGAAGATTATTACTGTGAAATGTATTTATCGAAAGATTAAAAATTGGAAAGTATTATAGAAAATCAAATTGTCAGTCAATATAGGAAAGTCAAGATAGTATTTCCTTTGGTCTCAAACCCTTGTTTACAAAGAGGTCATGTGACCCAATGCTATAAAACTGATATTTTTCACTTAACCTTCTTCCAACAGAGCAGTGGCTTTAAACAGTTAGATCGCTTGAAATGTACATTACCAGTCGGCATTCTCATTGAAGAAAGCCTCGAGCATAGGTACACAGATCAATTTAATAGTGGTGTTAAAAAGGAATCTATTAATCTTTTTTTCATTGTTCGCAATAAAGTTTATCTGGGTCTTTGCCAGATTAAAACATATATTTGAATGATAATGGATGATAAAGAATAATGGCGAAATAGCCAGACTTTCGTTTACATTTTCTTGTCAAAAATATCAATGTGTGGGCTAGCTGGAGCCAAACATAAAATACAGCCAGATAAATAGCCCGATAAAGTTTGCATAAGAGCGCTAACCTGAAATGAGATACGTACACATCCAAGACCGGAAAAGGAAGATCCAATGCGCTCAGATCGATATGGAGATGAACTGCTAGAAATCCGCTCAGTTACCATAGATTCATACTCTGATTCAACTCGCTCTAATCGAATCTGAAACAATGAAAATATTAAATTATAATCAAGAAAATGTATTAGAAAATTACGAAGTAAATAGGTATCAAAACAACATAGATGCAACAAGATGCATACAATCTTGCATTAAAGAAAAACCATTACCAAGTAAATGGAGTAGCACCGCTGATTCTGGAAATAAAATGTATTTTTCCCGTCGTAGGGAATTTATGGTTAATTCTAATTTAACGTGATTAGATATTGTCGCACTCGTCTGAATTTAATTCGCTATAAAAGAAATATTAACTGGCAAGTAATAGCGCTGGTCAAGGGAGTGATTTTCCAAATTTAATTCATATTGGATATAAAGTAAAATATTTCGTGATTTATAATTTCAAATAGTAAAGATTTGAAAGATAGAAATAAGATCGAAAGAGAAAAGGATAGGTGGTTAATAAACCGCTTAATTATTTTGCAATAAGTAATGTAATCAACTGATATAGAAAAAGTACGTTCGCTTAATCGGCAATCCCACCAAAGAATGTGCTATGAGAAAAGGCCTGGCTTTCCTTGAAATTCACACCTGCCTTGTGACCCGAGGGCACTCGTGCAATGTGACTGGGGGTGTTGAAAAGACCTAGAAAAGGGTGAAACTACCGTTAACCCTGGATGATAACACCTTTTGGGAAAGCAAAGGTGTGTGAAATTCAATGGCAATGTCAGCTCTACTCATACCATTTTGAGAAAATTCAACTACCAGTCCTTCATTACATTACATTAAATGAAGGGGAATACATCTCATATAATGTAAACCTATTCATATCGAAAAGATCTTCGGTGCTGGTGAATTATGCACGAGAAACAGTACATTGGGAAGATGGAAAGCATGCTATGAGACAAAACCCAAATCTGTGTGCTAAAGAACAACCCAATTATGAAGATAAATGGAACAACACAAGAGATGAATGCGAACGGAGAAGTCGACTAATGGTTTCACAAGTACGAAAGAGCAAAATACAATGGTTGCCTTCAGATGACCGAATATACAAAAATAAAAGGAACCGCCAAGGCTCATAGTTTACTACAAGTGTGAAGCAATTGGTGAAGCGTATATGCATGAAACTCAAAAAGTAAGACGATAAGTTATAAAGCTGAGTGAGGAATTCAAACTAATTTTCCTAAAGGATCAAAATCATAAGACTGAAAGAAAACTAATTATTTGTACTTATGGCCCTCCTGAAAGTCTCAGATTGAGAAGCTCAGAGGGTCAACATAGCAAAAAAGGATGCCCTATTTATCCATCGGTGAAATCGGTGAACAAATATTTGGACTTCCTGTAAGATCGCCACTCCAACCTCCTTTAACTAACGTATAGATGAACAAAGTAGTAGAGAAACTCGACACGTCACCTCTGAAACCAGGAGTGTTCATGGGATTATTTATTGCAGCTTGGTCGCATGGAAGATAGGCGGCTACTTACACTGGATGCCAAAGCTAATTGCATAAATGGGAGGCTCAAGAGAAGAATATTCACAGAGTTGCATATAAAAATATACCTCAGTTTTCATTCCAAACACAACTACAGAAAAAACATCGGAAGATTGAGGAGCATAATTATCAGAAGTTAAGATCAATAGACGTGTAGTCCTGGGGCAAAAAATGGGTCGAATTTCCGATGCTTATCGGCAACAGATATTCGATATAAATCATGTGAATATACAAACAAGTAGTCAAAAGCTGATTGTATGGTGGGGACAAAAAAGAAAATAAGAATGTATAAATGCGCATAAATGAGTATGCCTACCTAACTTACTCAGAAAATAGGACCGAAATTAGGAAAAGAGAATGATCAGATAATGATGAAGGAAAAAAACATGCAAGAGGAAAGTGAATAATTTGGAAGGCTCGGGAATATAAATGAGCACAAGAACAATGCGAAACGAGAATAAAAGC